CCGTGGTCCGAATCATGCTGACAACGCTCATGAGCATTGTTTGTCTTCGTTTAACATTTGACAAACAACAAGGATGAAATGATTTTTAAGCGTGTCAGCGTGTATCGGACAGCGGCCCTAGTTTCCATCGAGGATTTAAACTGGATCAGAATGTAAGAACTAACCGTGACATAGGCCGTGGTCCGAATCATGCTGACAACGCTCATGAGCATTGTTTGTCTTCGTTTAACAGTTGACAAGCAACAAGGATGAAATGATTTTTAAGCGTTGTGAGCGTGTATCGGACCGCGGCCCTAGTTTCCATCGAGGATTTAAACCGGATCAGAATGTAAGAACTAACCAACTACAGTCGATTATTTCCCTGTTACAGTCGAACGACAGGGAAATGCTCGACTGTAATTGGTTGGTTCTTACATTTTGATCCGGTTTTAACCCTCGGTGGAAACTAGGCCAGTCCCAGCAGAAGAAACGAAAACGCAGCGTTGGTAATTTCCAATACTGCCAACAGTGCCAACTTTATCTCCTTTCCCAACACCAACCAAATCAATTTTCGAACGCAGTCAGTATATGCGACTTTACCGCGTTATTTATCTGTAACTTGAAATTTTACTGATGATAAACAAGTTGTAGTGGAATTGTTCACAATGTTTCGCACAGTGAGTATTACAGCCGTCATTCTACACAAATAAGATATGAAATCATTTTAGAAACACATGAATAACAAAATGCTTGTTATTTTTTTAGGTTATTTTACAAGTACGGAATCAAGTTGCCCGGTTAAATAATGTACGACACTTTACGCAAGAAATGAACGAGACTGCAAATATAGAAAAGTGTAAGTATTCAATGCTATTAGGGAATTATTTGCAACTTTAAAAGAGGATATTTATAATTAAACAATTTTCATTTCTACTTTTATGCAGATAATAGAAATTTGATGCTATTATTTTTAAAATGATGGTTTCCTTTTTATTCATAGGTGTAAATAATGTAACATTACTTGGAAGAGTTGGAGCAGATCCTCAGAAACGTGGCTCTGAGCATCCAGTTGTATTATTTTCCCTTGCAACACATACAAATTATAAATACGAATCAGGTACATATATCAATCCTAACCTAACTTTGGAAAAGCACGCAATAATGTTATAGGAATAATTATATTGGAGTATCTCTTTATTTCCATAAAGGTGAATTTATGCAAAGAACAGACTGGCACAAGATATGTATTTTTAAGCCTAATTTAAGGGAATCTGTATATAAATATTTAAAGAAAGGTCAACGAGTAATGGTAAATGGTAGGATAAGCTACAGTGAATTTAAAGATGCAGAAGGAAAAGATGTTCTCGCTACATCTATCATAGCAGACGATATAATATTTTTCCAATAAAAAGTTTTACATGTAAACTATATATATATTTTCCTTTTCAATAAAATTAAAAGATATTTTCTTTTATTCTGCAATCTATAGTTGAATAACGTAACAATGGGTGCATTCAGTACTACAACCACTCACTAAGTGGTCAGTGAGCTCTTGCATCTGATTGACATATTCCATTAGATCTAAAAAAATAGATCAAACTGATATGAGAGCTCACTAAGCGCTCAGAGTGAGCGGTTATAGTACTGAATGCACCCAATGACTTGCCATAAAATGTATCTTTGATGATGAATTTCAAACATCAAATGTTCTAAATTTAATATTGTTGATGAAATTCTTACTCTAATTAAATACAATTAAATCTATAAACATTGGTGTGTCCAAATTAGATATATCAATTAGTGTCTAAAAAAAAAATTTATTTTTAACAGATTGTATTTTGGATGAGTTGAAAGAATAGTATACGTACCTTCTTAATAACTAAATAAGTCTATATTTACAACATTCATTATTTCATGTATTCTTCATATAACAACTTATATAATAAAACAGCTCTAATTTCTAGCATTTTACATATTTTATACACGCGAAACGATATATAAACTTCTCCAATCTTAGACGTATATGCATTGTTTCGCACTAATATTATGTCTTCATATATGCTGTTACATACATATAGAACACATATGTATAAATATATTTATATATTATATATACATATTTATATAAATATATTTATAGATATATATTTATTCATTTATATATAAACATTTCTGTTTATCCGACATTTGTCCATGTGAAAATTATTTACATGATCATAAAGAGAAAAGATATACATATATATATATATATTTAAAATGACATATATTTTGTATAAGTATGTAAGTATATGTATTTTTATTAGATATATATATATATATATATACATTTTATCTCGATAACATTACGCAAATTCTAGACAGATGTTTGATCTAAATGTGTGTAACATGCACGCATGTTTTATCTAGATAATAATTCCTAATTAACTATGTACTTATATTCTTTCTGCATATAGTATAGAGATCACAGTATACAAGAAGCCAGATATTTCTCAATATGTCATTTATATCATACCTGTCTCATTCATTATCTCATTCGCTCACACTCACGTTTTAATTCTCTCATAGTTTTTCAATTTCATATTTTCAAGCTTTATATTTTCAATTTTATATTTTCAATTTTATATTTTCAAGTGCAAAAATACAATTAGCAATCTTCTTAAATTTGTTTCCTAATTGTATATGCGTCTTGTTTCTTCACGTTTTTTCTAGTTCTCTTGCGGACTTTCGTGGTTTATCTCGTGGATAAACCTCGAATAAAGAGTCGTGGAATGTAAGCCACAATCACACAGGCAACAAACATAGAAATTTCGAATATAAATTTTGATAGTAAAATATATATATATTTTTTTCTATAGATAAATTTATATATCTAACTCTGGCCCCGAATTTCCATAAGATTCTTGCACTATTCTTCTAATATTCATCTTTCGTTCGCATTTACAATTCATTATATAGTTCAGTTCATTAGTTCAAGTTTATATACAGTTCCTACAACGTATAATCGATTATACGATACTCGATTATGGCGCATTCTTGATATAACGCATACATCGAGCTTAAGGGATACATATTGGTTCCAAAATCGTGATATACCGAGTTTTTTTGGAACAATCGACTAAATACATAAAACGTTGTCTTATTAAACGGCAAATGTTCTTGGCACAAATACGTCAAAATAACGGAGAACCGTTTCGGTGCATATACAGTAAGAGCTTGAGAAAATCCAGTTAAATGTTTCCTTTAAAATCCGATCTATATGTGTCACAGATATACATAATTATTAAACTATCGTGAAAAAGATTTTGTCAAGCTCTTTATACTCCGGAAACTACGGAAACATTAATAATATAATTGTTCTGTGATGTATATTTACACTGAACGTTTCAAATCAAGTAGTCTTTCTTTGGGATCGACCTTATTTATAGGCTACGTTTCGCCAAGAAAAAAAAATGAAGTCGTACATCACAGAATATACCTAAGATTAAGAAAAAGAGGAGCAGAGAAACGCGTAAGAAAAGAAAGACCTGGTAACAGTTCTCCTTCTGGCATTCTTTGTACATTGAATCGTCGTATGTATGTTCTTAAGTGCACCTAAGACCGTACGTTTCATACACATCTTGTCGTTGTAAAAGTGGAAAGGAAATTGCTCGGTTTGGGTGATTCACTCCGTTACGAGGAGAAAGCAGGGAAAGGGATAGGGCGGAATATCCGCGAAGATTCAGCTTCACATTGAAGCGTCTATCATTATCGGCACTGAACGCGAATCTATGTGAGGGTGGAGGAGAGGAAGGAGCAAATCGTTATCCGATTTGCACCGTAAGGAGATACACTCTCTTCTTGCGTTTCTTGTCACACTCTTACGTATAACGACGAAAATGGAGAGGATTCTTGTATAACTGCAACTTTGAATTCTCGATAAACACACAAAGCTGGGCACATATGTGGGACGTAAAATTTCTTGATTTTTAAAGAATCCTTTACCCTTAGAGCGTCAATGTGCGAATTGAATAAACGTGAATGCTCCCTTTCTGACGATTATTCTCAAAAAGTCTTGTAATGTGCTTAAAATCGTAGCTTTTATCACGTTTTGTCCTGCGATTTATATTTCGCGCGTTCTACGATTTATTAATGATTACAAAATCTCTAACCATCGGTATATCTCTTTACAATTACCACTGGATAATTTCGAGATTAGATCTTATCTTCGTCATCGTATTTCTGAGTCTTGTCGATAAATTACGCCTTTTGGATTCCATCCTTTCCCATCTTGAAAACCTTCGCATATCTTTGTACAGATATCACTCAGTAGCCGATGTGGAACCCTTCTTACGTCGAGGTCATTTCGCCGTCGGCTCCCAGTCTGCCATGATGCAATTACGCACAATCATTGCGTTCCTACCATCGCTAGGTCCCGCGTCACTTCCTCTCTTCCGGCTCCTCCTGATTGGTTTTAACGAGATTGTACGCGTGACTTCTGTACTTGGCAGGTGGGTCGTGTAACGATAGGGGCTGCTGCTGCTGTTCGCTCGGTTGGTTCATGCTGGACATTGAGAGATCCGTCGGCATGTCCATTTCCGGTTCCGCCTCGGGACTTCCGGAAAGAGTCCTTTCCTCCTCTGGTTCAGACTTTATTCGCATCTGATGGCGCAGCGATGATATGTTCTTGATGTTTTTCAATTCGATCGAATTACGCAAGAATCTGCAAAGAACACAGACACATTTTCTTTTTGCCCAAAGATAATTTTTTTCATATTTAAATGAGAAATTTGTATTTCTTGTGTTGAAAATATTATATTCTTGTTTATAATAGCAGCAACGAAGATAAATTTTGATATTAATTTTATTGACACATTATTTCAAAATTAACAAACTCATATTTATATCTCTATCGCATTTTTTGTATAACAAACTAATTATTTAGTATATAATAATAATAATACTCACTGATAACAATGACGTTCGCCTTGTACTTTTCTAAGTATATTCACGCGGTAATAATAACGTAAAGCTCTGCTCATTTTGTCGTAATTCATAGAGAGATGATTTTTCTGGATGCCCCAGAGTCGCGCTAGACCAGGTGGATCGACAATCTTGAAGACGCCAGTTTCTCGAGTTTTCCACGAGATGTAATGCTGGTACCGTTGCGCGGGGTCGTTCAGCAATTGCTGAAGGAAGTCCCAGAGCATATATATATATATATATGTGTACACTTCGACATTTTATATTTAAAATATTCTATACTGTTTGCATATGCAAGTGACGTTAAAAGGATGCTCGAAAGATTATGGCATTTCTTACAATTAATTATTTCTGCCGGTGGATTTAAAAATCGCGGGCAATAGCAAATACTAACTGGTGTTGGGTTCCGACGAATCGTTAGGGAAGAACTCTCTGTTTGTGCTGGTGATCGATCGAAAGGTACCGGGCGTCAGCGGCATCAACTGGTGCGGTAACGTCGGACTCGGTTGATCCTTGACGCTCACCTCACTGAGCCTCTGTGCCGCCAAGGCGGTCGGTGTGGCCGGTGGACTGCTATTGCCGCTTGACACCTGGTGAGTGTTGTCTTCGTCCGAATCGCTCTTATAGACTTGCGTCTGATTCGCGTCGGTCGCGTGACTGGGTGAACCCGACTGACTGTCCACAGACGGTGCTGGCGATAGTGTCACTGAGTTGGCCGACATTAACGAGGCGAGATTCGAGGCGTATGGTGGCGTCTCCGTCCACGTTGGTGTAGGCGGATGCGAATGTGGACTCAGCGGATATATGGATGGTCTGGTTGGTGTCACCGGACTGCTCGGTAGGCATCTCTGTAACTGACTATAATCACGCACTAGCATTGTCAGCACGTTGTGCAGCACGTCGCCAGCGCTCGGACACCTCTCGCCCATATCGGCCTTGGTCAGCAAGCACAGAGCCTTGCCGTTCATCTGGAATACGTCCATGTCGAACGGTGGCAGGTCGAATTCCCGTTCGGCCCACCGCAGGAACGCCGCTACGTCCTCCCTCGACCACAGTCTAGGGTCGGACACTGAAAGGAGAGAAGATGCCATTGGTTGTATTCGCGGTGACCTTTGTAACCACTATGCGGTTTAACATCGTCTATACGCCTTCATAATTAATTCACTGATTCCTATTTCCTTTAATGAAGTCAATAGCAACGTATTAATATTAATATGAATAATACGAATTAATCGAAGAATTAATCTAAAAGAATTGTAGTAATTAAAGTGCAGTAAAGAAAATCTTCTTCAGCTTCGTTTTTATTCGAGTAAACTTTATACAAAAATTTTACGGGATTGGAAATTAAACGGATGGTAAAACTTTAATTTTGTAAATTTGCCACACTTACCTAAACTCGTTGGTAGATGAGTTTTAAAATCCAAGAGGGGACTGGGCGGTGGATGCGTTGTAGGCGGGAAACCCATCGAGGGCCCGTATTGGGCCCTCCAGAGTGCCCAGTCCGGACATAAAGGCAAAGATATACCCGGAGGCAGCCGAGGTTCCATTCCGGCCATTCCGCCAGTGGCGGAAACCGGCGGTAGCTGCGATATCTGAATTGGTGGCAGCAATTTCATAACACGCCCTCGGATCTACTAATGGCTTCTGTAACAGAAGAAATAAATAAAATTTATATTAACATGTGTCTGACTTTTAAAAATCCTGTGATTTATTTCATTTTGTAATTAAGCTTGATTATACACACGGAAAGAACAGTTTTGCTGAAGTGTCTAAAAATTTAACTATATGTAGATACAGATCTGAAAATAATTTTGCTAGACTATTAAAGTAATTATATAGGACGCTTAAAATAATTGCTAGGCTATTAACATTTTTTGCAACATTACTCATTCTGAATGTCCTTGATAATTATTTTAATAGTTCAACAAAATTATTTTCAGATCTGTATCCTGCTAAAATTTTAGACACTCCAAAACTATTTTTTTTTCTGTGCATATACAAATTTAATAAAAATGGATTTGCATAATCTTTAATCTTGCAAATATTTTATATTTGTACAAAATAAATGCGCCTTTACAATTTAATAATTAGTTGACAATAGAGTATCGTTCTTCCTTCGAACATCATGTCTTCATTAAATCAACTAGATGCAACAGTATCGTTCGATCTATTTAGCGAGCGCGTAACACGAAACGATGTCGACGTCATTTCGACGCTACAGGCGCACGAAAGTGATCTCTATATTTATTTACGACCATGGAGACGCAACACTGTGTGACGTAAAGTGCAATCTTCCGTATCTATACCGTCGAAAATCGATCCCCCTGATATATAGTGCTTTACCTCGTCTAACGATCGGTTCGTCGATGTAGAACGATGGAAGATAATAACGCCAGATTACAGTTACACGTCAGTTTCTTACAATGTGGACGTGGAACAAGCAAGATGGTTCAAGAAGAGAACAAGGAGACGAGACGAAAAGAGAATGGAAGAGAAGCGTCGCGACGGCGACGTTTTGAGGCGTCGTCGTTCTCAATTTCCTGATCGGCAACCGGTTCGCAGACGTTCGACTATTAGCATAGAATGTGGGGGCATAAGAATGAAAGCCGGCAGGAAACATGGATTTACATAACGTATTTCCATCGACGTCGACGAAGCTATTTCCGTTCTCGACGTCGGCTCGCGAAGACCCGAGACCGCCTAAGCGAAACTTCTTATAACCAACATGGAGATTCACTTTAGGACCTGTAACGAGTTATGCTGTTCATTTCGAAATTTTTCCACTTAATTGTTTCCAGAATCATTTTATTGCCATTGTTTACAACATATATCGGAACTAGAATTGTTTCATATATCGAGAAATATTTCTGATTGAAAAATGAACGAACCAGAAGATTCTAATCATATCAATCAAAATTCCGATTACCTCAACAAAAATTATAATAGATTCAATCAGAAATTTTTAATTCGACCATTTTCAACCAGAATTCCAATTAATGCAACCAGATTCTTTTTTCAGATTTTTTTTATAGTTTTAAGTAAGAATAGCCTTTGACTTAAGAGGATTTGCCATTAAAATTCAAAGTCAGTTTATAAAGTTTATATCAGTTTCTATAGGATAAGAGTTCTTGTGGTCCAGAATAGCGTACGGAAGCTCTCGCAATAATATTACGTTAAAATGTAAACAAAAAGAATCTAATTGGAAAGGTAGAATAAAGTAATGTAACTTCTTCATCAGTAATGAGGCTATTTGATAATCATATGTTTATAATCCATGTACTCGATTAGATATCATTATTAACGTACCGGTGCGCGATTGCGCCTAATGTTGCGGCGTGTTATAGCAGCTACTTACACTTTGACTGGTGACATTGTAACACGAAAAAATCGTGGTTATTATCTGATTTAATATGTCTCATAACAAATGGACTTATGATAGGAAAAAGCCTATTGACGTCACCGTATGTTCGATATTATCGAGGCTACATAAAATTGTACGTAACAACTATTGTGTAATACAATACTATTATAACATTCTACATATTTAATATTATCGCTGTTGAAGATTTCGGAACAATAAGCAAATCTATTCTGTGTCTCAGAAAAAAGAAATGCTATACTTACATAGAAGTACAACACTTTTATTTTATTTTATCTTTTTTCTATTTTTTTTAATCACTGCATATTTATATGTCGATTATTGCTGTAAATGGGAATAAATACAAGTAAAAATTAATTTTAAATTTAAAAAAGAAAACCGGTCTGCCATCATTTTTTGTCCAAGATTTGGTGATCGATGGGTTCCGGAATATTTTCAGCGAAAAAAACTCTTCTTCTCGTGACACTTCGAAAAATGATCGGAGGAAGCTCTTGGCGGCACAATTGCTCGCTCGAGAAGAGAACGAGAGAGAGAGAGAGAGAGAGAGAGAGAAGATTGCCCTGAGGGAAGAAGGCAGGAACCTCGGCATGCGAAGGTCGATGTGCCGTTGTCTCGCACCAGGAAATCCTGGTCGTCTCTTCGGTCTCCCCCTCTTCACTCCTTTAAATACCGCGAGTAAGCGAACGGCCTTATACTCAGGTGCTCCTTTCGGTCGGCGATTTTTTGCGACGCGGTTAATTAAAGCGGCTACTTGAAGCGACGTCGAGGGATGAATTTGAGGATAATCTTTGCATCGCACCTGTTTCGAGACATAATTGCTTATGCACGCTTCTTGATGGCTATCACTCCGAATTACACAAGATGAGAGATCCACAAATATGAGAATCTTTGATGGTCATCAAAAATTAAACATCTTAGGTGATAAAATTTCAAAATATCGGTACCTTTGATGTTACCGCAGCTTTAGGGTTGTCACATCCGAAAATTCTCATTCTAAAATTTCAAAATTTTTTTTTAATTTCCAGATAAAATTTCACTTTCTCTGATGCATTCAATAATATATCGATTTTTTTTGTATTTTTGTTCTGATTTGGGAACCATTAAATATTTTTTTTAGAGCAATTTAACATAGAAATGTAATTATTAAAATAGAAATAAAATTATTATGAATGTTGCTGATATTGCTTGCATTTAATTGTTAATAATATATAACTTTTGATATAATGTACGTAATTCTTGATTTTAAACTTGTTTAAAATCAAGAATTTTAATTTTCCAGAAAATTGTACAAAATTCTATGACATTTCCCTGACAATTCTCTGACCATTTTCAATTTCCTTGACATCTCTTTGATTTCCAGTTTTGCGGCGGCAATCATAAATTTCGACCGAGACAATTTTAGCATATCGGTATGCGTTCTCGAGAGATGGAAGAAGCGATAATTGCACGAAGCAAGGAAGGTAACAAGAAAACACCGGATTCTGCGGTTCCGTTTGCGTGTTTCTCTCGCGAACGTTCTTTTTCTTTTTTTTGGTGATGAAAGAAAGGAGAACTGCGATCACTTTGCGAATTGCGGCGGAAGCATCAGTAAAAAATTGTAACCGCGACGCCATTCGAGACTTCCGGTACGCTATCGAAGGACGGGGAACACACCGGAAGCGCGTTCGATCGCGACGAGGTAACATTGACATTTCCGCGTTGCCTATTTCTTCGCGCCACGTCACGGTGTGTTTGCGTAATATATGTTTAAGTTCTTGAAAACCCCTAAGGACTTGAAGAACTCCTCTTTTTCGTTTTCAACATAAGTCTCTGTAATTATTCTTTTATGAATTTTAATGTAATTTTAGTTACATTTACATGACATAACCATGTATATGCAGAACTGTGTATGTATGTATATATATATATATATATATATATGCTTTAGATAAGAAATAAAAAATAGATGTTGAGTCGCACAACGCTATCTAGATGTAAGGATGTTTAATATCTTATAGCTTCTTAATATTTTTAAAATATTAGGAATTTAACACAAAAAATTTGTCTATTATTATGTCTATATAAAATTTGAGAAATAAAAGCGTGCATTATCGATAAAAATATATTTTGAGTATAGTTAGTTATTTTTTTCCCCTCGTTTTTTTCAATATTTCACAGTTTTTAAAAGATTCTTATAAGATATTTATTATAGCATTAAAATTATTAAATTGCGTGCCAATTTAATATGTGATATTACTACTTTAGTTCCGTTTATGATTTCAAAACTGAAAAAAGATTTCGGCCCGCAATTTGCAGAATTGGATGTAGATATATATAAATTCACATTGAAATACTTTAGCACAGATCCGCATTATAACCGAAAATAGGATTATTTCTCTTAATTGATTTATTCTCGTCTGTCTATTTGATTATAATTGTTTTTTTTTAGTCTTATATTCTTTTCTTTCCTTTTCCTCTCTCTCTCTCTCTTTCTTTTTCATACCACATTTTCTTTCTTCTTTTCTCAATCCAATAGAGTTCCTGTCACGTGGAGGACCTGCGGTGACCTTGATTATATCGTCTTGTTTACGATCGATCCTACAACTTAACGACCGGGTTTCCCGACGTGAAAAAGCTCTCGACTGATCATCGTCACAAATGTGTTTACGTTGTCGCGTGTCGAATAGCTCAGAAGTCTTTACGTACAAGTGACTGTGATAATCGTGTAGATAGCGCAGCACAGATAGTAGTAACTGTCATTCGCCATCACGTATCGTGACAGCCACATGTCTTATGTTGACATGTAATAAATATTACCGGAAGTGAACCTCTTAACGCTCGGTATCGATGAATCAGCCACGTAAATGACTATAAATGAGCAGATTAAGATAATAAAAGATTCTTGTAAATGTCCTAAAGCGTAGCATTACCAAAGTGTGCATCTCGCTAATTGTACGCTAACATTAACGTTTTGTTCCTAGCATGAAAATAAAAACATTAAAGTAACGTATGCATTCGATGGTATAATAATATTCGCGATTTATCTGTCACGTCTTTGAATCAGTAGTCGTTTTTCCCCTACGATAAAACGCGTAAATAAGCAAATTAAGAGAATAAAATATTCATGCGGATATATTAACCTAAAACGTGACACTACCAAAGTGTGCACCTCGCTTAATGCGCTAACATTAACGTTTTGTTGCTAGCGTGAAGATAAAAGCATTAAAGTAACGTATGCGCTCGATGATAAGAATAATATTCGCGATTCATCTCCCACGTCTTTGAA